GCCAACCTTTCCTTTCTCTGTGTCTGCAGCCCATAGGGGCGCGTCAGTCGAGAGTTGTTTGAGACCTGCAACTGTGCATTATTGTTTCGGAGGCTATGCAAAGTGTTGCGTTGGTGCACCGTCCGCCACAGGTGACGCTAGCGACCGAGAACATTTTCAAAATGACTAAGAGAAAGGGTGTGGCAGTTGTTTTTTTTTTTTTTTGCTCATGCGGCAGGCATCTTTCTAGAGGAGGCGTTGGTACTACCCATCATTCTCATGGTCGCTGAACGATCGCAGCGCCAGAGTGCCCTCTAGTTAATCTTGAGCACGGAGGAAGGAAAGGATCTTGAGAAACTCTATAGGTCCGTTCGATTCACCTGCACCACTTGGAACCTGTTCACGACTGCGCACGCGAAGTTCAGAAATTGTGCAGCGTGAATTCAGCGGCGCAGGCACAGCGTGACCCCCGAAACGAATGACGATGAGCCAACAGTGTGCAGGCCTTATTTCTCTTTGCTTAATTTACGCCGTACAGCTAACACTGAACGATGGCGAACCACACATGTGGACAGTTTATGAGGCGCAAAGATATTGGCAAAACACACCGCGTTTGTAGAGGCGGGTATGAAGCCAAAGCCACCTACGCTAAAGTGCTGCATCGTCTGCTCAGCTGCACATGCGGCTGCACCAAGCCAGCACCGTCAGCGTAGGTGGTGCAGGAAAATCTTGAACCAGTGCTGCCCCTCTTCTGCACCTTTTGAAACGAATGACAGAGTTCAAAGGTCGTCAATGCTGCACCGCTGAAACGAATGGCAAAGTGCAGCACCCTGTGAACTGGTTCACGAGGTACAGGTAAACGCCGCCTACCTACCGCCGCCACTGGAAGCGCCCTCGTCGTCGCAAAACATCGTTTAATTTGTGCGTGGCCTTTAAGATATGCTGCTGGTATTCAATCTCAAAGTCTATTCTCTGTAGCTTTTACTTTGGTTACATTCAAGCGTTCAAGGAACCCTAGAGAAAAGTGGTTCTTCTGGTCTACAACACGCCTTCTCTCGATTTTCGTCGGAATCCGATAGGCCTTATGTGTTACATGTGAGGGGTCCATCTTCTAGAGCGCATCGGCCGCGCGTCGGTTCTCTCCTTCTTTTCACCTCCTCACCTGCTCACTCTAGCCCTCCAACAACCTGTTTGCGCGACGAGAGAGAAAGAACGTTTGGTGTAAGTGCTTTCTCTGCGCCCCCCCCCCCCCCCCTTTTCCATCGGCATGCCAATGCCAAGAGTCGACGAGGGCTCGCAATATCTATTTTGTGAAGAGGATCTCGAGCCATAGGCACGAAACCAGGCTTACATGACCCTGACAGCGGTAAGTCGTCTTCCCTTGCATCCATTTCGAACGCGGCGCTCTGCGGATACTTGCGCGGAGTTGTCAGAGGCCCGGCAAGTATGATCGGAATGTAAACAAATCGCTTAATGCACTCCGTTTAAAGCGCTTAACAATGTAGGGACAGCGCCACGCACGGATAGTTGCACGCCGCGCGCTCGTGCGGCTTTTTGGGCGCGTAATTAAACCAATTGCCCGTCGAGATCTCTGCGTTATGCCAATTCGAAGCATGCCAAGCTTTGTGAAGCGCCTGTGTGCGTTGTCTGGACGTCCGTATTCGGTGTGGTGTCTGTGTGATCACATGTCACCTCCCCATTATTGCTTTCGGTGGGAAAAAGACTACGTGCGAAATTCCACGCATACCTATCGGCGTGTCGTCCATATGAATGGACGTACGTGCTGGAAGGTAACTTAAGCGTTGAGAACCGCAGTGACTCAGGAACGTCTTTGACTTGTGTGACGCTAAACCGGGTTGGTGGCAGAGCTTCCTGTCAATGTACAGGGTCAACCAAACAGCACCCGGACGACACATCATGTTGTAGCGCATTGTTTTGTGTAGCACTTTCGTTCGTGTGCTGAAGGAGGCTTCTGTGTCCTTCGTAAAACTGCAGCTTTAGCATTTCGTGCACACTTGAAGTTTGCCCATGGCCGGTCATACAAGTTGCTAATTAAAATGCATGTTGACCTCGATGCACGACATTTCCACTCACACAGTGCCTGCTATTTGCACCTTATTGTCTCGTGTGTGGACCATATGCCCAGGTTGGCAGCTTAAAATCCCACTGGAAATTATACGAAAATCAAATGAACACAAATTCAGAAACAGTAATTCCAATTATATCGGGGTAACAATGAATTCCGAGTAATCGCTAATATTTTTATGTAACAGGAATTTCTGGTGCAACTGTTGGCATTAGGTAATACTCAACCCCAAAATATATGCTGGTGAATCTAGCTTCAGCAGTATTGGTAGTGAGACAAGTAGTTAAATGTGCCGTGTGCATGAATGAAGTAATCATGAAGAAGAATTATATTTGTTTTTGTGGTCTTGTATGATTGTAGAAGAATAACATTGATAAAAGGGATGCACTTACCCAAGTCTACACAGTAATTGATGTAGTGTTTTTGTTTCTTGCATAGCGAGTGCTAGTTTACCAACTGTCATGACATTCAGTGTTCTGGACGGTAAGCTCATTAAATTCTACATTCCTCCTACAGCATCTGATAAACCAGTTTCACTAGGAGGCTTCAAAAGGTCCCAGGGGCTAGATGACACCGTAGCGTTGTCTGGCATCTGCGATATTTTGCAGCTATGCTGGTGAGTAGGGTTCTGTGGCTGTGTATGGGGCATATAGGCTCTGATCACTAGGTATTGCTGTTCTTTGAACACAGCAATGCATCACAAGTGTAAAGGTGCTGGTAAGTTATTGCTAACCTATCAGCTTCGAAATTGCTGAAATGAAAAGCTGCGGTGACCCACAAGACGTTCCTGCAGCGGTCCTTATGAGGACGTAAATAGAATTTTTAATGCAGTTTTTAAGCACCACTTGTAAACTGGCAATCCTTTAGCATATTTTATTATAGGTGACCTTGGTGGGGTACTGCAAGTCACACTAGCATTAACTTCTCAGAAAAGTACCGAAGGAATAGTTTAAACATAAATGGAGACGAAGGAATGCATACGCCATCGATATAGCTGCATGTTAATTGCTCTCATTGGTGTTTAAAATTACTCTCGGCTTTTTGTAATGATTTTTTAAGCTCAACCTAAGTCTATAATCAATAATGAACCATGTGATCTGTACATAGCAGCACAAAATTTTATGTTCATGGAACAAAGGGTGCACAAACACCGATTCCTGTGTTTATTTACATTGTTGTCATAGTTAAAAGGTCGTAGCCTCTTCTCGTTTCACAGGATAACAAATGGATATATAACAGGTGAGATCAAACTTGCACGCAAAAGCAACACAATGAGAAAATAAAAAAAAAAGCGTGTTGCTCATCTACAAGTACAGCATGGCTTAAGTTCACCACGGCGCAAGCAGCCATTACTGGCAATAGACTGAAAGTGTGCCCATTTTTGCCAACATTGTGTTTGTTTTTTGACAAGTGCTTAAGAAGCACCACGATGAGCGCACTTGTTCTAGGAACGACTTTGCTTTAACAAACATGGGTTGCTTATTAAAAAGTGTGACTGCCATAATGCGGCCCAGTTATTGTCACGAAATCGACAAGTCAAGAAAGAAAGTGTCGTTGAAGCAATGCAAAAGGTGCATTTCAGCCCCAAAGAAGACTTATCATGTGGGCTTTTATGTCATGTAGCTTAGAAAGTGCAAACTCGATAATGTTAAAGTTGCACCCAGTTATGTTTCGCAAGCCGCAGGTGGTGTTCATATGCTGATGTTTGGAATTGAAATGAGGTATGTTGATGTTACATGCAGGGTTGTAACTGGGAGGAAGTCGAGTAGGCTCTGACTTCTCCTGAAGTTTCTTCAAGGTTTGGGGGATAGTGCTGTATTTACATGTCTTCCCATTGGCCACCGGTTGCCCAAATTAGCCGCTCTATTCATAAACACACACACACACACACACACCCAAAGAAATTCCTGGGTACAGCCCTGGTTACATGAGAATTTTTGGCAGCAAAACGTTTTCTGTATTAACTGCCAGATTAAACATTGGTTCTCCTTGGTCTACATGATGAAGCGTGCCAGCACCCAAGCAGAGTCACAACTGCTGTGATGAAGAAAATGGCCACAAGTGCAGATACTACCTTTAATAAATAAACTATTTGCTGGAGAAGAATGCATGCGGCGCAAAGGGATTTAGGAGCATATTTCACTTTACATGTCACGGCTGCCAGTATTTTACGCTTTGGATAGCTGTTGTTGCATCCAAACAGAGCGGGGTGATAGCCTGTTGATCTGATTTTGTCTGACAATCCAATTTTCGACAGCACAATTGCTTTAGTGCATCGAAAAATTAAAACATGTGAGCCTCTAATGCGCCATACAATACAAAACGCTGGAGTCCACACGTGGCAGTGACGGGGTGGCCAGATATGTGAGGAAGAGAGGGTGAGGGGAAAAAATGCACTTTTTCGAGGCTCAGGAGGAGTGTAGGTCTATAGGCCAGCTCCAAAATAAGTACAGAATGTGAATTTTTATGTCATGCACAATTGATATCACTCCAGCCTTTCTGCCTGAGGACTAGTGGTTTCACTTCTGAATATATGCTTGAAGAATGTGTAATACAATTAGAAAATTGGTATAGTTACCAACCTGATATTCCAAGTGATATTGTTCGATTTTGCATAAATCATGTTATATACTGGAAGGGCTGGAATTAACCGTTTGTAATGCATAAATGATGCCACAAGCGAGTTTCGGCGACAATAGTGTCGGTAACTATGCAGTTTACTTCAGTACGTGGGAAGAGTATACATTACGAGTCCATATAATAAAATTTTAACATCCAAGCACACTGTATTAAGATTGTGTTTTGCTATGCTATCAAGCTTGTTTGACCACGGTAAGTCTTTAGTGGGCCACTAACCTTGCCACGCTCTATGGCTTCTTTTCTACACTTGCAGACTTCAAAACCCAGGATGCAAACCACTGCGTGCCACAGATAGTCATGTGCTGATCAGTATGCCAGGCCGAGATCTGGCGCTTCCCACGGAGCCCTGGCTCCCCCATCACCTCAACTGCCCCAGGAGGGCGCTGCAGAGGGCACACCCACTGCAGTGGAGCAAGAAGCCTCCAACAAGCCTTCCGGCCAGGAACTGCTGCCACTCTGCGATGTCCTCTTCAACATCATCTCCATGGCATCGTACTTCTGCGACATTGTCTTCGACGTCATGGTGGCATACACGCTGTTGGTTGTGCGCCAGCAAATGCTCTGGTTCTCCATTGCTCTCACTAGCATCCTGGGGTCACTCGTGGTCAGCCAGGGACTCTCCCTCCTTTGGTACCTCCAGCGCGGTGCAAAGACCAAGGCACGTCGAGGAGGTGTGTTATTGCTTCATGCCTTCCAAGCGGGCGTGCTGTGGCGCTACTTCAAGCTGCTACTGCCAGTACATCTAAGCCGTGTCAAACAGGAGGTGGCAGACCTGTGTCTTCTACGTCTCGTCCATGGCTTTGGTGAAGCTGCACCGATGCTGCTGCTGCAGCTACATCTAGCCTGGGCACAGCCAGCGCCAAGCATGGTAGCCCCTCTCGACCGAGTCTCTGCGCTGCTCTCTTTGTTCAGCGTCTGCTGGGCCCTGGCCTCCTTTAGCAAGAACATTCGTCGCCAGCAGCTTCACCAACTAGTCCTCACGTGGCTAGGGGTGGTTTGCCAGTTGGCTTGGCGGCTGGGAACAGTGTCTGCCAGGGCTTGTGCCCTGATTCTTTACGCTTCGCTTTATGGCCGTTGGGTATTGGTGGTGCTGCTTTTACACTGGCTCGCCATGCTGGTTTGGCTGGCGTCTCCACCCCCGCGGCTGTTTCGCGGAGATGCACCCGGCCGCCGGCTCGCCTACTGGGCCCTGCTAGCTTACGTGCACACCATCTGCTACGTCAATCTAAGACCTAATCCTGGACGACAGGGTAGGGCACGCTGCGCTGCTTTCTACACGGCCATGTTTCTAGAGAATAGTCTTCTGACAGCTGTTTGGCTTGCATTGAAGCCAGGCCCACACTGGGGCCAGGACCTGGTGCTGTTTGTTGTGTGGGGAGGGTTCTTTCTCGGGCTGGGCTTCATGCTTCTTTATTACCGATGGTGTCATGTACGGAGGCTTGTGCCTCCGCCACGAGCGCCTGCTCCAGCAGCTCCAACAGGGGTGTTCAATTGCCGGCTAAATCCAGCGGCACTCAAAAGGAAACGCAAGAAGCCGTCATCGTTTGTTCCGCCTGCTCAGCCTTTCTGGAAACGCGCTCCGGTTGGCAGCAATGCGGTGCCAGCAGTCGACATACAGCAGAAGCTCCAAGAGAAGCGGCGTCAGCAACTTCAAGACCTTCTAGCTATTGAAGAGGAGATGAAGCAAGGGAAACTTCCTCCGAGGGGAACACTACAGGTATTTTGCCGTTCAATAAGGTTGAGAGCAGGGCTAGTTGGTGACTGATATACCGTGATTTTGCCGTTGTGTTCACAGCACCAAACGGCATAGTAGTGTTTGAAGATTTCTGCTACTATATTTGATGGGCTTTGCCAGTGCTGGCATAGTAACATTGCAAGGCTATTATATTGGTACATTTCGTCAGAGCATTCACAGTTCAGTTTTTTGGTTATCAGACAAAAATTTCTTCTATGAAGCACAAAAGCCACAAACAAAACTTCGCTGTTGGAGGTTTGTCAACACAGCACTCGAATATTCTCATACAGTTTAAACCCTTTGTAAGGGATGTGTATCGCCAAGCAGTTCTTGCCCCTCCTCTGAGGTGTGTGTTATAAACAGGGTAATTTGTTTTAATTTTCTTATTAACTCCTATTTTGATGTAGGTGCACTGTGTGCACTGGTGTTCCAATGGCCTTTTAAATCAGCCTCTTATTAAGGGGTTCAACTGCATTACAAGACAGTATTCTTCAAACATGTGCACCTTACGTGAACTTAAGGTAAACCTTTTCTTGGCAGGATACCGCAAAGACAGTAATAATACAAGTGTCCCATCTTGCCTAAACGTGTCATGAAGCAATGAGCGGTGTGAGTGCACAGTTTTCATTTTGAGGGTTATGAGGAAACTAGGCCGGTGACAATCTCCTTAACATAACTTTAGCATTATTTTTTTCTTTTTATGGCCTCAGATATGCATGTGTCTTTTAACGCATTTGTTTAATAAACCGTTCTTCAATTATAGCACTGCCATGTTTCTACCTTCACTTTTTGTTTTCTTAGAAGTGCTCGCTACACTTTTCAAGCAGTGTGAGAAAACTGCCAATCGGTAGTTGAGGCTCCTGAGAACATGCGTGTCAAATATTATAGCGTGATGCTTGGCCTAGACCATTAATTCTCAAAGTCAGCTAAAAATCATTCTCTTTGCTCTCTACAAGTGATGCATGTACCCACACGTCTCCGCCATATGCCACCGCGCATGGCAGTTGGCTGAATCAAGCATCGCAAGCTGTGTAGTCACTGTGGCCTTCTAGAGATGCCACCACATGGCCACGGATGCGCTTGCAATCGCACTGAAAGTACGCTGCATGTTTTAATAAAAGCAAGAAAAGAAAAGTGCTCAAGGTCACGGCACGTGTTGATAAAGGGATGCATCTTCTGACCCCCTTGTTATCCCCCGCCCTGCACAGCTTTCAGCATGCTTGCAGGCGCAAACGGTGCAGGAAAGTGCTTGAAGTGGGCGACTAATAGCTGCACTCATCGTACTCTATGGATTTAAACAAATTTTTGTATCATGCGCTGGGTTAAATATTGTTGAGTGTTTAAGAGAAGAAAAAAAGACAACGAAGTGTGGGCACGAGAGGAAAGCTCATGCCTGGTGTGTGTGGAACGAACATTTTGCAAGTCATGGACGCGTTTGTCTTGTCCCCGAGTCAATAAAACCTTTGTTTTTACTTCACTCTACCAACAAAGACACCTTTCTTGTACATGTTAACAGTGAGACTATTTCATTATAACTCAGAAAAGTGTTGCAAAGCCTCTTAAGGACCTCTCATTGGACATATTACATAATAAGTGGGGTTTACAATTGTAAATTTTAAAGGATGGTGGCCACATATATAGGCATTAGTTTTTAGCTTCCCAGCAAATGTTGATGAGCGGCTGTGTGTGGCAATGTGACGGGCCACGTCCTTCCATTTAGTCAATTTCCAGTAAAAAAATGCACAAAAGGTGTTCTACAAGCTACTTTTAAGTTATGTCATGTAAGAAGCAAAAGGCATGGTGGTGTTAGCACCAAGATATGGTAAGTGGTGAAGTGAGCTATTGAAGAACCTGTGAAAATGCGTTTCCAAATTAATGCAACGCCTGGGCGATAGCATATTTTGAATGGTCTGTGATTTCAGTACTGAGAACTGATGTAATAAGACCATGAGACTCAAATAAACCTTGCAACTTCTTCAAGTGTATTTACAAAATAAGTAAACAGATCAGGGAAGTGCATTCAAGCTTTGGATGCAAAAATGTCTTAAATGTTTGTAGTTTAATGGAATGCATCGCCTGATGTAGATAGTTTTCTAGGAATCCCAGTCTTTATCCATTGGGAGGCAGCAAGCCAGAACCTATATTTAGACGAATTGTTCAGTACCTGACAACGTCTTCATTTTAGCACTGAAAAAGAGAGCGCTTGAGCTGTCATCTCTCAAGTGTATGACTTTTTTAGTGCTAGAATGATTTTATTAAATTATGTTTGTCACTAGATTTTCAATTGTAAAATGTCTAGCTGCACCAGACAAATGACATGACAACAAGACAAGAGCGCTTGTGTCATCTTTGTGTCTTGTTTTTTCATCTGAGCCACAGTGTGCATTTTGTGGCACATTCCATTGCCAAATTTGCCTAGTTTGCCATTTCGGTCTAGTGTTGAATATCTTGTCTTCTTTTTCGTCTCTCAAGATGCAGGGTCCCACACCGCGGCAACCAATTCCACGCTCCAAGAAGCAGCCATGGCTCCGCAGCCCCCCGCAGTTCTGCTATCGATCACTGCTTGGTGGCTCACCTGAGATCCTGTTGTGCCCGCAGCGCCTTGACCCAGAGCGAGGCGTTGGCAGCCTTCGTATACCACCCCAGCCACGTGAAGTTCGATGGACCCAGAGACCGTTCACGTTCCGTGAGAGCAATTCGAGTGATGGTGATGTGGACTCGGCCGATGAGGATGCGTCTGCACGGTTCCGCGCGTGCCGAACATTCCTAGGGCGTCCCCACGGACCCGAGACTCAGCTTTGACCGCTTCTTGTTGGTGGTGAGAACGACCACATTGAACTCCACTGCTCCTTTGCGTTTTTGCACGTGGAACATAGCGTGAATATTTATTACCAGTACATTTTCGTGCGACCAGTTTTTAGATCATGTGCCACAAAAAAAACGAAAAGAACAGAAGCCAGTATAATAACACTGTGCATTTATTCTGCATTGAAACATTGTGTCTTCTGTTCTGTACATGGCTATGCAAATACTCATGAATTTTTTACATTGAATCAAAAAGTGTCCTGTACCATTTGAAAATGAATCAAATTGCTACTATTTGTAAATTCAAACACTTTTTCAGCACTTCATGTAAGTTTCAGAATGTCAAGTGCATATAAAATAATGCAATACAAATTAAAAGGAAAGCACAATAAAATTATGTCATTTATTGACATAATTTATTGCATCATTTATTGCTCCAATAAATTATGTCATGTAAAATTATGGAAAGTGCAATAAAATTAAAAGGAAAACGCAATAGAATTATGTATTCAAGAGCGCTTAACAGGCAAGATACAAGAGACAGACTACGCAAACAAGCACTATGCCCATATGGATCAGTACAAGCTCACCCGAATTTTCGTGCTTCAAAAATTATGTCTTTGTCGGCATATTATATGTTGACACAAAACATGAGAACGTATGTAGTACAGCTAGCGACATTGCTCAGGTAAACAGACTTTACTGGCTGTGCAATAATCTGCTGTGTGCTAATTTTAAAAGTTCTGTCCATTTAAAGAGTCTGCTTATTTTTTCCTCATCGTCCATTTATGCTAAACGTATTGAAGCTCCAAAAAACTCAAAAGTAAGAAAGAATAAGAGGAGATAGCAAAAAAAACAGTGCATTTAGTGCTATACATATGTTTATTTGCACATAACCCTGTAAATATAGCTATTAAATGTACAATTTTCTATGCAATTTGCCTCTGGCATTTTTTTATTTTTGTTTGATTCAGGATTAGAAAAATCACAATTTGCACACCCCTAATTTTATGCAATTATGTAATTTCTATGCTACTTCGTCATTTAGCAAGGGTCCTTTCAATCTTGTCAAAATTTTGCATATTGTGTCCACTAGTGCAAGGCTGCTGCTAGCATACAATGTCTGCATTGACTAGAGCTTATCCAACCAAGCTGTCTCAAGGTTTCAGTTCTATGCGATAAAAAATTTGTATCACTTTGTGGTTTCTGACCAAGCTTTCTAGGTTTTCTCTCTCTCTCTCTTTTTGTTTGTTTGTTAGAGACCAACCACTTCAAAATGCAATGTCACAGTCATCAAGTAGTGCACACTTTGCACTACACACATGCACACTTGGCACTAGTTTATAATAAAGCCATTTAGAAATTGAGCATTTCGATCAACGTAGTTCCAAACAGGCAAACCAGTATGGGTCATCGTGTAACCAATGTAAGTTGCTAGTACAAGATCGCTGGAGAGGCTTTTTGACTGATATTTGCGGCATTTTCTTCCAATATATTAATACTACTGAAAGCAGTCTCTTTTGTGAAATGTCTTTGACATGTTACCCAGGCCTAATGTTCCCTCATTCTAAAAGGTAAAAACAACACAAAGTGGACAAGACACATTGAACAAATACTTGGGACCAACACTGTGGTAGTCCTGTGTGTTTCTTTGTTCGTCTACTCTATTTTGCACTGTTTTTACCTTTTACAATGTGTTGCTAGCTAGCCCTACGAAACACACTTCCCTCAATGTAACGCCAGCAGTGCATGTACTACAGTCTTTGCTAGTAGCATATTGGCTCTTGGGTCAACAAAGAAGACTGCTTAAAAGGGGTGCTTCTTTTAAGAGAGTTCTTTTAAAAAAAATGTTTTGCCTGCATATACATGATGATAGAGATAGAATTTTTTCAGAGGGGTTCTTTCCTTGAAAAGCAGTTTGTAAATGTATAGTTTTCTTGTTTCCTAAGCATATCATAACAGTGCATTTCACTCTCGAAAATCCTGTAATGCTCGCTTTCTTTTGTACTTTAGTAAGCGTGGTCCAATGATTAAGGTTGTCACGTGACAATTACTGACCTACAAAGCAAGAAGGAAGGAAGCAGCGGGCGTAGCAAGGCAATCACTTATAAATTTGGCGTTGTATAACTTACTTTAAAAGACCCCTGACACCAAATTTAGAAACTAGAGATGCTTGTGTTGTTTGATAGCGCTGTATGTAGGTCCGCCTTTGACTGATTATTAGTGGCGAGCGTTGCCTAGAAGTTATTTTAATTTGGTTTTAAAGTAAGGGTGCGTGCTCGTCCGAGTACTTAGGTACTATCAACATTTTCTGTGGTTTCACGTAAATAGGGGATCCCCTTGTGACGTTGCGGAGGTCAAGAACATTGGCGGGACGCGCACATTACCGCGACTGGCACCCGGCGAGAACTATTGTTCGTCACCCCTCTCGCTCTGTTGTCGAGTGGCTCTCGAAGTGGTTTAGTCTGCTTACACCAGGAATGCTTTTCTTTTTTCTGAAAAGGACATGCTCAAAGCTCCCACATAGTTTCGTTTTTCACCACGGTGAGTCACCCTCATTTGAAAAAAGCGCATTTCAGCCTCGCTTAAGCTTGAGCACACGTAGTTTCAGGCACTGCTGCACAGTGGGGCAGTAGTTTCTTATGGTATTTAGGTGGGCATTTTAAACTGAGGCAAGATCCTTCTGAATTAATGCCGCTGGCATTAATTACACGATGCGTTAGAGCATTTACAATATAATTTTGGCATTACCCAATGCGAAGCTTCAAATTACTGTAAAAAACTCGCAAACAAAGGTTTCGCTGTCAGGGGTCCTATAAGAAAGTGTGGTACAATAAGCTTTTTTATTAGATCTTCAGATAAACCACTTTATTTCGACTGATTCTGCTTCAAACGCCAGTGACATTGCTTTTGGTTCCATGCCGCTTTGGTTACACTGGTGCCATGTGTCTGCTTGCGCAACACATCTTTATAAAAAGCTCTTGAATTTGTTATACGACTACTTACATGAAGGGGCTTTAGTGTAGGTGGATGACACTGAGGCAATACACAAGGTGCTGTAGTGACAGTGGTGGGCAGTGGTGGCTTATGCAACCTGATTGGGGCTTGATGATTTCCTGATTTGGGGCAGCTAATCGGGATTGTACTTGCAGCACTCGCAATTGTCCTGACCCTTGATATGCGACATTTTTTTTTTACACTGTGCACTTTTTTTATGCTAAATAAATGCGGCAAGGTTACCGATGTAGTATTTAAAGAGTCCACTTCAACATAAATCTGTCTTGTGCCCTTCAAGTGCGAAGATTCGCAGGTATTAATACTCTTGTCTGAAAAATTCTTGGGAATGGTAATGCTAAACATGCTCAAGGAAACTCTGTACCCTACCACAAAAACTGAAAGAGCCAGCTAATAATGAGCCTCAAGGCAGCTACAACGTATGGCTGGTTTTGAAGCACACACAATAACTTTGTCTTTTTTTTTTTTTATCGACTTATCCAGGAAGCACAGACGTTCAGCTTGTTTTCTTGTAGTCTTAGGCAAATGGCATTAAGATGTCATCATCATTAACTTGTGATGTTATGTTCAGTTTCTTTTTACGGCAACCTGGACTGGTTGAGATAACGTAAATAATTATCCACATGCTCTCCCACGCAGTGACTCCTGACTTAGTACAAGAAAAAGGACGAGAACTCTTAAAATTTTGTGTCAGCGGTTCTCAAGTTGCTTGCTTCTTAAAAAAATGGTGCACCCACTGTAACAAAGTGCTACACGCGACACTCATGCGTGAAACAATGAAAGGCAGCAACGAAGTGAGGAAACATCAAATGACAAGCAACTTCGCTAGAAGGATCAGATTGCCATATTAGAAATGGCCAATGGTCAACAAGTTCAAAAATTCCAGAAAGCGTCAGTTATTGAAAAACGTTACATACAAACGTAAATGTAGCCAAAGCACCTTCTAGGCCACATTTCTGTACCCTTGCAGGTGCCTTGTTTCTTTCATACTTCGTCGCCACCGAAATCTGCATGTTATCCTCAAGGCTTTACTTAAAATATAGCAGTTCTAACCTTCACACAAGGAGGACATTTCAAAATGGTAGGGCTGAAGCCGCTCCTTCACTTCAGCGCAGCTACTTCCCTTCTCTGTTATTCACTGTGAAAAAGACGTAATAAGACAAAAAAGAAACAATAAGACACGTGCTTACTCATGACTAAACATTTATTCACGGAAGCCACACATATATGTATAAAAAAATTGCAGATGCGTACCTCGGCACACCTGTTGCTTCATTCACCGTGGTGCAAAAACACAACAAGCAAGACAAAAGCAGCAGGTGACTAAGGGTTACTCATGCAGGATACTTTCCCAATCGAGCATGTTTTTGTCATGCTGCTAGTATCGCAGACCAGCCCCTTCTGCTTGGGCCACACACTGTTCACTCACAGTACCTTAAAATAAATAAATAAATCATTTGAACACTTGCATTGGAAATCACTGCAGAATTTCGCCAGCACATGTTTTTTTCCTTTGCTGCTTAAGCAGACGCTTCATGGCAAGAATTGCTAACTCAGGTTGTCTGTTGTACACACACCCATGCAAAGAACTCTGAAGCCCCATAACCAAGTGTCCCACCAGATTTCCCGAATACTTCAGTTCGATCGGGCTCGTGTCACATCATTACACCGCGACTTAACTACACTTGTGCGATACATCACTGACAGGCCGGCAGCACATGCACAGCTGCAAAAGAATGGTGGACGGAAGGTGGGGTGCTGATGAAAAGTATATTGAAACTAAAATTCCTTTTAAGCGAAACCTGAAGAGACCAGGAAAATAAGTTTTCTTTAAGAGAAGTTTCGATTACTAAGAAATAAACAGGGGTATAATATTAAAGTATGAAACCAAACATATTAGTGGCAGTTGTTTCATTTAAGAAGCAATTTCATTTAAGAGAGTGTCGTTTAATAAGAGTCTACTGTAAATATGTGCCGACAGCAGGATATCAGCAAAGCCCAATGGTTTCAACACATGCACGCGTAACTAGGCGAAGTGTATAAACTTCCGATAGAGAAACGAGTGAATATAGAACCTTTACATGTTTTCCACAAGCCCAACTGTTTTATTCAAAAAAGCCAATTCATCAGAGTGTTTGACTTGTTTTCACAACACTGGAGACTTGCAGTTAATCTCGCCTTGCTCGTTTGACAGCACACATGTGAATTTCTAGACGAACAGAAATTTTACGCTTGCCCCAATTTCTAGTTTTACGTCTACAGACACAAAGTTATTGAACCTGCACAAAAATTTATTGTGTTTCACTTTCAGCCTGCTAGCCTTCTGTTCCTTTCATGTAAATCTTGTTGGAATTTAGTATGAAACCTTTAAGTTCATTTATATTAGCATGATCACATTTTCAATTGGGCACATAATACATTACTCAAATGGTATGAAATTATCATTGCTGTGCTAAATCTGTAATAACAAATTGCTAAAAAAATTTCAATTCATGAATTTCCTAGCTTTATCTGCCCGTATTTTAGGTGCTCATCTGTTTATTGCTGCAATCAAATCCAAGCAGTGACAATCTTCATAATTTTGTTTTCTTGGATTCAAATATTGACAGCGTGCTCACAGAACAAATTTTTCAGGAAACAGTGACCTAATCAAATGTATAGAGTTGCCTTTGATGATAAATCTGCACACTAGGCGTGTTCACTTACCGTTGTGGGCACTGATCAAGAATCTTAATGTTACTTCAAACTCAATCAATAAGTGTGCATCGATGAGCTATTTCAGAGATAGGGGAGTTAGGTTTTTCCTCACTGTGTTCAGTACTGCATCACTAGACCACATAATCCACATTTAAGGTTGTTCGAATCTTCAATATCTTGGCATATCTGTAAAATCACCCAAAGACTCTTCCAAAGTTCTTTTTGAGAATGATGGATTTCTTTCTGAGCAATCACTGCAAGAAACAGAGTAGCTGCACTATGCCAAAATCTTTTGTGCTCCCGAATACAAATGATCCCTACAAAAGAGAGCCTGCATGATCTAAGACTTCTTGTCTGCATGACGATACATGTGTTTCATGAAGTGACGTTCTCGTGCAAAGGCTGAATTGCAGTGCGGACAAGAAAAAGGACGTTCCCCAGTGTGCGTGAGCATGTGCTTCATGAGACGGTGTTTCTGCAAAAAGGAGACATTGCACTGTTCGCAGGAAAAGGGACGCTCGCCTGTGTGACTGCGTGTATGCTTCACGAGGTGGTACTTCTGCAAAAAGGTTGCGTGGCAGTGTCCGCAGGCAAAGGGACGCTCCGGTCTCCGCTGTGGGTGCGCCTGTGAGCGATGAGATTGCTGTGAACAGTG